TTGAGCTAGGATATTTTCCCCCAAAACACAGAAAGGAAAGAAAGAAGGAAATTATTCCACCCAAAATAACTATTTTGATGCCAAACATTAGTAATTTAAACTTCTGGACCTCTGAAATATTGCAGCTAGTAAACCTCTGCTTTAGAGTAGATTATTTAAAAGCAGTTCCCCAAATATTTATCTGTGCATATTATTACATTGTGAGGGAAAGCTGCAGATGTAACCCAACCAGAGTCAATGGATGCCATTATACATATAAACCTGCCCAAATAATTTCCTCAAGATACTCAAGTTAAACAAACAAACAAACAACAAATAAGCAATTAAAGATGGTCATAAACTCACACTGCCATTAAAATTCCTTGAGACTTTAATGAGAAAAAAGTGTGAAACCATGTTTAAAAAAGATTTGGCCATCCTGTGAGATTTCAGTGATTATTCAAATTTATATATAATTATTTTTATTTAGTACATGAACTACAGGCCTTCTACAGATTCTCACCAAATATCATTGCTTCGTTGACTATAAGCTGAGAATAACTAACCTCAATAATACCTATGTTATTTGTCTTTTGTATATACTTCTTATGCATTTGTTGTCATTCTTCTCCTCCCAATTCCAATAAAACGATGGCTTAATGCAATGTGTCAACCAAGCCTAAGACTCTCAGTATCCATATTACATAGTGTCACATTCACTATGTTGATCACAGAGCTCAATTAGTGATTTAAGGCCAGTCACTGTCACTCAACCCTACCTACCTCATATGGTTGCTAGGGGCAAAATCTGATCCTCAGATAGTTTGCTGAGCTCCCATAGAAAAGTCTGAATAAAAATAGAATAGATTAAAAAAATGTATAAAAGGCAGGAGAAAAGATATGCAGCTTCTGAAGACAGAAGGTACACCTGGGATTAAAATTAATGCAGTTGTACAGCTTCGCCTTGAAAGGAAATTGTACCTCTGGCTTCCAGGAAGTCTTGATATATACAAGGAAGGCATGACTGGGCTATCCAAAAGGCACCTACTTGCCACAAAAGAAGTCAGGTGTTTTGGTGTTTGGTGTTTCTTCACATGCCAGTGAGTCTTTTATCTTTATTGACATTAGCCTGTAATTATCTCAATAGTCTTCTGCCTTCAGTGAGGCTTTCCTTTCATTCCTCAAACTAACAGACCCCTAGCCCATAACCTCAGGCCTAGAAGGGCCCATTTCTTTTCATGCATTGCCTTTGCCCAGGGAAATCCATGGTGCTCTACATATAAGATAAGATAACTTTATTGTCTTTTGTTTTTTACTGTGAGATTCATTAAAAATGAAATTCTGCTGCCTGCTCTCAAGTAAAAGTGTATACTCAAACACACACATATATAACACACATATACATATGCTACATACATACATAAATACATGTACCATACACAGACAGACACATATTCAATATATGTATATGGATGGATAGTGATGTGTGTATGTGTGTATACACACACATCACTATCCATCCATCCATCCATCCATCCATCCATCCATCCATCCATCCATCCATCCATCTATCCATCAACTATCTATATAAACATATACATACACATACATACTGTATATAAATAAAACACATCACTATCCATTTTGAATATGTAGTGGAAAGAGGAAACTTGAGAGTTCACAAGATTGATGCTATATGGAACAAAACTGTGACTGAATCTAGATGTTCTGCTTTGGATACCATAAAGCCTCCTCCCAGAAGGTAACAAGCAACACAGGTCGTCAAGAGGATGTATAGTGTCCCAGACAATCCTGCAGACCCTGCTCAGGCATCGCTTGTATCAGAGGTGGGTTGCTCCCAGTTCGGCCTAGATCAGCCGAATCGGTAGTAGCAGTGGCGGGAGGCTCCACCAACCCGCTTGGACACTTCTGTGCAGGAGTGCTTACGGGCACGCGCCCAAACCGATAGTAAACATTTTTTCAACCCACCACTGGCTCATATGCTATGTCCTGGGTAGAAGAAAGTGAACTACCAATGATCTTTTCTGCCATCCCAATCACTCTCTGCACCCCCTTCCTGCCCAAAGCAGTAATGTTGCCAAACCAAACAGTAATGCAATATGACAGGATGCTCTCGATTAACCCTCTATAGAAAGTGGTAAGGACAGGGGAAGAAAGATGAACTTTTCTCATGTGACACAGAAAATGCAGGTGCTGCTGGGCCCACTTCACCAATGCCTCATTGTTGAGCGACCAAGCTAGCCTACTTGTTAGTTGCACACCCAGAAACTTGATGCTACTCACCACCTCCACAGGTGACTCATTAATACGTAGTGGTGTGTGGCTGTGCCTGCCTTTTCTGAAATCGACAATAATATCTTTAGTTTCTCTTACATTTAAAATGAGACTGTTTTTGTTACATCAGTTCACTAAATCCACTATCTCCTTGCAGTAAGCATCCTGTTTTTTTAATAAATATAATTGAAAATGCACAATATATGGGTGGTGCCAGTTGTTTAATTTCAAATTTGACTTTTAATTATAAAGAGGATTAGTAAATCATTGCACTATTTTATTGATCACATTCTTCCCATTAAGAGAACAAATATTAAATATTTAAATAAAGAAAACCATGTCACCAGCTTGGACAAAACAGGAAACTGTATTTAACTGAAACTTCCTTGTTTTTTGTTTGCTCAAGAAAAGAGAGAAGTAAAAGTGTGTAAGTGAAAGGTTCATTCATGGCTTTGTATATTAAGCAGAAATATAACAGTATGAATTTTCTCAGTTGGGTACATTTTATAATATCCTTGAAGTTATTATTTCATAGCAAACCCAAAATGACTTGAAATCAACATTTCACTATACAAATAATGTCACAAAATGACGCTGGCAACAGAAATTTAAGATATTTCTGTGTTATGTGAAATTCTGAATGCAATGATGAAAAAGATATAAGGCTTAAATGTAGATTTTTTTAAAGCACCAAATCATATAGAATGAAATACTGTATAATGTATCTTTCATATGCAAAATATTATATTATACATTCAGAATTGTAAGAGGTAATTTTTTCTGAATAATGTTATATTTCTCTTCCAACAACTTCTATTTATTAGTGAAAATGGTACTGTACTACACATCACACCTACATTTTAATAAGTTAGAATGTAATAACTGATAACATGCCTAAATTCTAATGATCAACCATATAGAATAATTATAAAGTATTTTGTAACTTTCAAACAACTTTGAAGCCAGCAGAGCAGATAAAGAAAATTTGATGTAATTAATAATATTAAAAACACATTTCAAAATATGTCATTAATAGTTGCTTTCAGCAAAAAAAATGTTATAAGGATAAGGATTCAATACTGATAAATGAAAAAAAAATGCTTTTAAGAAACAGGCACAGTTCACCCCTTAAAAACAAAATGAAGCCTAGCTACGGCTCTCCATTAGAAATTTAGATGGAAATCTTCTGTGCAATTTTCACCTCTGTTTAGAAAGAAATCATTACAGTCCTTAGCTGGAAATAAATCAACTTGCAATCAGTGATGGGTATTTGAACAAACATACAAAATTGAGATGAATTTTGTCTACTTTCTCAATCTTCACTCTCTCTCCTCCATATCTTAGGCTATCTTACAGATAATAGCGGGAATTCAAAAGGACAACAGCTGAAATCAAGCAGTAACTACTCGGAACCTCCATTGTTTGGAGGGTCCCCGTTCAGATTTCAGTACCAAGAATAGACCAACACAGCAAGACAGTATTCAGCAAGTTTCCAAAATTGAATGACAGTAAGTGGTAGATCAATAAATACTCATTATAATTCTTTTTTTAAAAGTCCTATATTAATTATGAATTAAGATAGTTGCTGTGTCTTTCCAATTCCTCTCTACTTCATTTTTACATAGTTATTTAAGCACATTTGTTCACAGCTGTTCTTATTCAGAAAAGTTGAAGCTGTCAGTGAGAAAATGACTTTAATGTCTCAAAGTTACCTATTATAGTGGAGAAATAAAACTTCAGCTGTAAATCTGAAGTGCTCTAACAATGTAAATATCAAAACAAAATGACTTTGTGAGACTTTAAAGACCAGCTTTTGACAAAATATAGTTTTGCTATAATAGATCTGCACAAGGCTCTTTTTCACTGCTACAAAATAGAATGGGTCCTTCTCAGATAACAAACATCAATGACTTAATCAGTACTATACTGATTCTAGTATAGTAGTAATTGATTGACTAATTGATGACAATTACTGTATATCTGTATCTTATTCTTTTGTTCCAAGCAGCTGAAAGTAACTTTTTAGCTTGCAAAAACCTACAAAGGGCAAAATAAAAATAGAACGTAGTATCTAAGGCAACTCATTGCTCTAATGCCTCTAATTAACTAATTAATACGCTGCCCCTCTATAACAGCATAATACAAAGATTACAAGGTAATACAAAACATTTGAAAATTAAGGAAAAAACAAATAAAGACTAAAAAAACAAGGAACTGGTGATATGGGTGTGGGGATTTCTCTTTAACCCGTGGGTCACCCCCAACATTGAGCACCCCGTGGAGGATTTTGTCCGTGTAATTTTGATTTTGTTTTGCCTGCATTGAGTGGTTTTTGGCCTCACACCATTAAGTTTTCTCCGGCTACTTTCACACCAGGAAAACATTCAAATGACTAATCTAACTATCCACCATCAGGTCTTCTAGATGGGAAAAAGAAAAAGGATCAAGACGTAAGCAAAGCATTTGTCAATACTCTACATAACCCTTGTATCCTATAAGCAAGCTTTCTCTCCAGCTGTGGTTTTCTGTCGCAACTACCCAGAAAGAAAATACTTTCTTTGGCCCCAGGGACTCAAACCAAAGGAGGGACTGTTAATATATGAAGAGTCTTCGCGAGGCTCCTGCGCCTTGATCTCTTTTTCAGCCAATCGCATCGAGCAAGCGGCGCGGGGTCGCCTTGCTGACCTCGATCCGAGAGAGCCCGACCGCGCGATACGAGCGCTTACCGGCCATGGTGGGACTTTCTCCCGCTGAGGCTGGTGGAGTCTACGGAGCTGCTTCTCGTTCAGGCGGCAGCCTCCGTCTTGCCTGTTCCGCGTCTGAGCGCTGCTTGGCTGCGTACGGCAGCTGGGATCTTCCTCTCTGCGCGCTTACTCGTTACTCTCAGGGAATTTCCCGAGACGTAGGCAAAACACTTCCCCGATGCCTGTCAGTGAAACAATTAGCTCCTAGTCCTATAACTTTCTTTGCTTAAATGTCAACGATGGGACCGCCTCCCGCCTCCTCTCGGTTTCCAAGCCTACCTGCATCTTAACTTTGGAGCTGCAAAAGCTTAACGTAAGGAGGCTGAGCTGTATCGATGGGGGAGGTTACACCAATCGCCAGATTGCGGCCTGCGCGCTCCGCCTTTTCGTGGGTGACGGGAGTTGCCTCACTGCAATTCGCACTCAAACCCACTGAGCTGTGGTCAGTGACCCTCGCTTTGCTCACTTCTCATCTTTTGAGCCTCCCTCCCTCTCAGGAAGAACGGGCAATGTGTCTTTGACTTGGTCAAACCTATACAAGAGAATGGTCAGACCTGGTTGGAACTTGGATGGGAGACTACCAGGAGACCCCAGGGCTGTGGGAAAAATATTCTCAGAAAATGGGAATGAGAAAACCTTTCCTTCCTGCTGCAAGGTTAAGTGCAAGGACTATCTGTTAAATCACTAGACTAGGAGATTGAGTTGACTAAAAGGAAACCCTACTGCTACCTATTTTTTTCATTGTATATACTTTTTTTTTTAACAAAACATAAAATATATGTTTTTAAAAAAATTGAAAAGAAAAAAAGGGAGAGTGCAAGAAATAAAAGGAAAAAAAAGAAAATAACTTCCAACTTTTGTTAATATAAATATTTGCCCTGAAATTCACTAGTGCACAGTATTTCCATAATCATAAACAGTTGTCAAATCCCAAAATAAAAAATTCATTTCTTTAAGTGATCATCATAAAGAAACAAAACTAGATAAAGTGTTTTCTTTAATCAAAGTAGTTAGTTTCGCCATCTCAGCCAATTTCATTAACTTCACAATAAGAGAAGTCACTGTTATCATACATAGATACAAAGTTCCATATTTTTTCTCAAGCTGCTTATCCATCAAACCTAAAAGAAAACTCTCTGGTTTCAATTGTACACTTGTTTTAATAATTCCCTAAATTAAAGCATTTTTCAGATCCCAATCATTCTTAGCTTTCTTACATGTTCTCCAAAGGTAATAAAAATTGGTACCTTTGGACAGATTACATTTCCAGCATGTATTTAACACACCACTCCGGCCCTATGGAACGATCTCCCCGTTGAGATCCGGACCCTTACTACCCTTCCGGCCTTCCTCAAAGTAACAAGACCTGGCTGTTCCGGCAGGCCTGGGGCTGTTGAATTATCCAGCCCCATCCGAGGTTATGACTGTTGTTGAATTTTAAATTGCTGTTTTTTATTTTTATTTTTGTACCCCCTCCCCCTCTTATTGTTAGCTGCCCTGAGTCTTCCGGGAATAGGGCGGCATACAAGCCAAATAAATCTAATCTAATCTATTCAATTTTGTCAATTTATAAGGTGTTAAATACCAATGATACATCATCTTATATAAATACCTTACTGCTACTTTTTTAAAAATAAAATTTCTTTATTTTTAATTTAAAACAAATACAGCATCCTATACATGCTATAGAAATGTATCAGTTGGTTACAAAAAGACTTTTGTGCATCTCTTCCACAGTCAACAAACATAATTCATATTAACGTAAGTATTTTAACTCAAATATTTATACATGTCACCATCATTATATCTCCATTTTCATTTGACTATAATTATTTAAGCGTTCTTCATCATAAAATATACCAAAATTTAATACATAACAACATACTGGCCTT